GTTAGTTGGTCTATTACCTACCTCTTTTGTCCATTCCAACCACCCGCTTCCACCAATAGGATCCCTCCATACCCCTTTAGTTTTCTTTGTCTAAAGCTTCGTCAATCAATATCAATGATAGGTCATCTGGGTCTAAGTAATCAGACCTAGAGTACATACCTACGTAGAGAGAGTATGAACACTGTGTTCCATACAGATCTTTAGGATGTAAAAAAAAATGACGATGAATGTGGGTGGGAGAGCAGAAGCGATTCCTGAAAGTTGGCAACACTGTTTTTCCTCCATTTAAATCCATTAAAAATATCGATTTCTGGTGCGGCTAGCAGCCTTGCCAAGAATCAATTGTTTTACATACATTGAAATGGAGCGTAAATTTAATGGGCATTTAAATGGCAGCACTATTTTTCTCCATTTAAATGTATGTAAAACAATCGATTCTTGGCAAGGCTACTAGCCGCACCAGAAATCGATATTTTTAATGGATTTAAATGGAGAAAAAACAGTGTTGCCAACTTTCCAGAATCGACTGTGGGATGGGATTGATGCCGACAGAGTTCGGTTTTCCACTAAGTCCTTTTGTGCAAAAACAGCTTGGAGAAAAATGAAAGGAGTAGTTTTGACTGTTTATCCCTAGAACGTTATACCTAAACAAAAAGTAAATCGATTTTACCATGAAAGATGCGTCCAAAGCCAAACGTACATCAGGCTATGTACCTCCAATCTCTACTTTGAAATGGACGTGTATGTGCTGAAAGGAACTATGCATAGATGAACAAAATCAAAACAAGCTATGCAGTATGCAAATCCTGTGGACATAATCCCTTGTGCTTTAATTCATGTGTATACACGGTCCCTTTTCGCATAAATATGTCCAACGATCAGATCTGGGAGCCCAGTCTCCTCATAATTTATTCTGATGAAGCGTAACTCAACCCTACCGATCTGATCAAATTCAACCTGTAAAGTTAAGCTTTGGGCCCAAAAGGGGGATGCAAAGTAAGTGAAAGTTGCTTTGGTCACTTTCCATTGCGGTGAATTATATTTTGGGATCTGAGTACTAGTCAAATTTGCGATTTTTTAAAAATGATTCTGCGCAATTTCACCATTGAAGCCTGAGAGGACCTGCATGTTACTAAGGTTGACGGTGAATTATGAGCAAAAATTGAATATCATTAGAGCACGTAATCGTATTATACCTTACGATCTTTAATGTTATAAGTTGGAGGAGACAAGTAAGATAATGCTAACAGTTTCCATAAAGGTTTTTTTCCGATTGAATGCGACAATGCGAGCAATACACTTCATGAATGTTCGAAAAATGGGGACTCCCCTCTGCAATGTCTGATACAAATATTTTAACTCTGATGTGAGCGGTGGAGTATCGTGCGAGATTGAAGGCGTTTTCGACGAGTGATAAGTGTTTGAGCTTTGAAGTGGCTCTTAACAAAGCGTGCCTCTTATACGAATCGTATGAACCGCATCCCTCCCGTCATTTCTTTAAAGACGAGTCAAGATCCACCAATACACAAAACATTTGAAAGAACATTCGCAAATTTTAAAAGCGATGAATTTTCTCATCCCGATGCTAGACAAAATTATCATCTTTTAAATACACGATGTATGATGTCGATCATCACTTCGATATCGATGACTATCTTTGTCCATTTTGGTCTCATGAGAGAATGAACTTTGAATAAAATTTGTGCTGGTTGCCCTTCACTTGCATGATGAAGTGGTGATGAACTTTACACTCGTTGCCCCTAGCGTGAACAATCGATTATCGATATTTCCTCATTTGAAGCTATGGTAAAGAATCGATTATTCAGATGTTCGTTGCAAACACCCTGTCTATAGATCCTTTCCCAGATGATTAAATGACAGATTAATCGATGAATCGCAAAGCACGCCACGCCAATGGTTCTTTCCTGTAATGGTGGAACTTTTGAGAGACTGAGACCAACGTGCAACTTTTTTGAAGTGCTATTATACATTCGCAGATGAAATGGTAACTCGGATTACGATTTTGAGTGAGAGGAGATGTTTTACTCTTGCTGTCATAATTTATTCGTCAGAATCCTCCCTATCGTGGTGTGTAAAAAACCGTCTAAGGGACGATTTCCGAGTACGTCGTCTATCTCTGACCCTCGACGTTATGTATATTCCCCAGGGCCTTGCAACTTTAAACGAAGGCAAACAGGCCTCGGTACAATTACGGAACGATGACGACAGTAATAAATCGTTCACTTTTTTGATCCAGACCAAAATTCGCCTCTTGCGCATCAAAAAACGACCGTTTAATCTCATCAAATAAGTCCATCTCAATTAATCTACAGCAAAAATGATACCAAATGAGCCGGATTGAGTCATAATGAGCCGCGAGAGATTTTATATTTTCAAACCATAAAGCTCCATTTACGAAAGTAGGAAAATCGTAAAAGCCCGGCGCGCAAAAACTGACAAAATAAAACGGCGATGTGCCGCAGATAAGGCGCCCGCCGGAGCCCTCGAAAAGCACCGCTCGGGCATTTCAGACCTCGATTTCACTCGGTTTTTGTCGGTTTGTTAGAATTAAAACAGAAATTTAACAACACAATAATAAAATGGGAGTTACGATAGCACCCTGACCCAGATTTGGGCAAATTTAAAAGGAAATAACTCCCGGCCGTAGTGCTCCAGCGCGCCGTGCACTGAATTACTGACACAAGTGACTCCACCCTTGCCGCGCCGTCACCGGTGCCCATTGTTGAGGCTGCGGTGAGTGGGGCTCGTTCGCTCGATCTGGCAACAGCGCCTCGAGTCGACACCGGTAATTTCGATTTTGACGCCAGAAATAGTGCTGACTACAGCCGTACGAGTACTCCGGGCAGGCTCATTCGCTCATTTATTCACCTCATCGCGGCTAATTGTTTTCGTGCATTAATTAAACGACACCGTATAACGCCATCAACATACCGGAGCCGGAGCCTGCTTTTTTTCTCTCCCATCTCTCCTCCTCTTTGCACCCCCCTCCCCCCGCGTCATCCCTACCTGCTCTTTTCTGATTCCCACTCCTCGCGCAAAGCTCTTAAAACTCTGCTGCTTTTAAAGCTCTTATATTTTCCGTCGTTCGGTTGACAAACACGGTTGTCGCTCGGAAGAGATGCCTTGTTTTAAATGTCAAATAGACAAAATTACCTATGGAAAATGTCCTTTGGAACAATGTTGGCCTTAAGAAGAGATGACGGCCAAAAGACAGTTGTTGTTCGGTAGAGATGCCTTGTTTTAAAATGTCAAATAGACCAAATTTCCGATGAAAAATGTCCTTTAAAACAATGTTGCCTTAATAAAGACGACGTCCAATAAAAGATGAAAGATGAGGACAAATTTTCTGCCAAATCATCGTGATGGAGGCACTGGATAAGGGTAGAGTCCCTTTATACTGAGAGTCAAGACAATTCGGCTCATGGATGTCACAAACGGGAATAAAGATTACAGAAATTGAACGTTTTTCTTAATCTTTGATCGGCCCATTCTCAAATGCCTTTCTCCGTTCCTCCTCTCATTCCGTTTGTTCCTTGCCGAACCCGTAATTCCCTGGTCCATTCCAGATTATAATCTTTGCAATTGGTGAAAATGTAATCTTTATTCCCGTTTGTGACACTGTGGAGGCCTAAAATACGGGAACCAATCAGAAATGGATTCATATTGTCTTGACTCTCAGTATAAAGGGACTCTAGATAGGGGAAGGAAACTTCTCGAGCATGGTGTCTTAGAATCTCCGTTTACGCTTCATTCAGCCCCCCCCCCTTAAAATTTCCAAAGAAAGTCACTGAAGACCACTGGTCACCGAGACCATGAAATTCAAATTCGTCGATGTCAATTGAATACGATACTACTTTTTTCCGGTGAATCTACTATAATTTTGCGACCAAAGAGCAGATATCGAAGGGGGCGCTTGCCCCCTCTATAAGGAATCATTTTTGGCCCTGGGGCTAGCCGATTTTGGATTTCTAGGCGTCAATTGATGATAAAATATTCTGTACTTTTCAATTCTCCTGAAATTGAATCGCACTTCGGTCAGGAACACCGACTTAGAATCATGACCTCCCCTTACCTCTCAAGGGGGGCTAGGGGGAGGGTTCGGGGGCCATGAAATTCGGATTCCTTAGGGTCGATTCCCTTATCAACTCCGCGGTTTCGAACTTCGTGCGACCTACAACAACCGTGAAAAAGTCTGGCATCTATAGGTGGTCCGAAACACCCTGTGTTACATAGGTATTTTAGGAGGTTTTACCAGTGAAGATTAACTTTTTGCTGCAGTGCAATGAGCAGAGGGGGAGAAAGATTTGACCAAGAGATGGTCAAAGACTCATTAATTTCGATATTAAATGTGAATATTCATGGCAGTCTTGTGGCATAGTCTCTTTCTGCATGTTTGTTGTCAGATCAACTCTTCCGTTTTCCTTCCTTGGTCAGACCAACTCTTCTGTTATCCGTCTCTAACAACAAGGGCCTAGGCTACAGGGCTTCAAGCAAGAAATTTTATTCCATCTTATTATCAACCCTTGAAGGATATGTATGAACCTGTAACACCTGAGGTATGAAATCAACCAGATTTAACGCATGGTCATCATAGGAAAATCAAACTTGGGCCGGCCCCTGATAGACACTACGCTATTAGATCAGACATTCAATTTGACTGAAACCTTCCGCAGTCTTATTTCTAAGCTAGAAGTATTTCATCTCTCAGATATGAGAACCCTCTTTAAAGTGACTTAGAGTATAAATGAACTGGTGAGTCGTTGACATTACCATACATTTGGAGCAGGCTTTACAGGCAACAGGTAGACCACAACATGACAAGTGAATCCCTGGTAGGAAATAAGCATTAAGTGATCGAACTAAAATGATTGGTTTGAAGCTTGCTGGAATTTGAAAGCCTCAATAATATCAAACAGCACAGTGCTATCGAAACTGTGAGAAGAAACAAATGAATATTAGGGAGAACAGAACTTACATACACTTTCAGAGCACATCCTGAGGGTTCGACTTGGAGATGAAACGAGGCAACACCGTATTGAAAAATTCTTTAGAGGGATGTGGTTTAGATAGGAAAATAAAAACTACTTCGCACTTACACAAAATATTAAGAACCTCTGGTAACTTAAGATATTTCAAAGACTTAGCAACACTCACAAGAGGACGAAGAAGTGAAGAACCACGTTTGTTTGTTTATAACTAGTATTTCTAGGTTATCCTACGCGAATGTAAACAAGTCGAAACTTCCACTCCTATTGGTTCCCGCCAATTCAGAGCCGCGCTCGGAAAAATATACAAATTGACGCGCCATTTTTCAAATTGACGGGGACCACTCTTGTTGCGCGCACACCGCAGAGCAACATGCAGCATGCAGCCTGCACGTTGTGGACAGTATGATTTGTATAAGGTACTACACTACTTACTTACATGTTCTGGAGACATTGCTCCATTGGTCGGATTACTCGAAATCGACTGTTTCTGAACCCGAAACTCCTAATCCCCCTCCCTCCCCCCAAACTCCGTAAACCCAAATATTAAGAGCAGCCTCCCTCCGAAACTTCCTAAAGGATATTACTGGAGCTCCGAAAACATAAACTTCGGGATCCCTGCGGGCCGATTACTGAAATTGATAGACAAAGCTATAGACAAAGAAGACAAAAGAAATATGGAGGGATCCTATTGGTGGAAGCGGGTGGTTGCAATGGACAAAGGAGGTAGGTAATAGACGAAGTAACGGCACCCAACGAGAGATCAGATAGTTAGTCCATCATTTTCTCCCTTAATCTATAGGAGTCACCCATTTCAACCAATAGGACAGCTCCATACTCCCTCCGTCTTCTTTGTCTATCGCTTTGTCTATAAATTTCAATGACCGGCCCGCTGGTATCAATTACTCAAGATAGGATATCACATTTTTCCGGAGAATCTACGTCAATTTTGCGACCTAAGAGGAATTTTTGGAGGGCTTGCTACCTCCCTCCTTATAAAATCACTTTTGAGCGTTAGGTGGGTCGGTTTGAATTCTCGGAGGTCAATTAAGGCTTCGGTACATTTATTTTATTCTTTGATTTGGATGCAATTCGGAGGAGAATTTCTAAAACTGAGCCCCTTCCTGTTTACCTCCCAAAGGGAGCAAGGAGGGCTTCAGGACCATCAAATTCGGATTTTTCGAGGTCGAATGCCTAGGGTACCATGTTTTTCCATGAAGTCTACGTCAATTTTACGACCAAAGAGAAATTTGTTGAGGGGGCACTGATCCCTCCTCAGGGAGTCATTATTGGGCATAGATGGGACCAATTTTGGATTTTAAAGTGGCAATTTAAAGTTAAATTTTCCATACTTTTCAAACCTGATGCAATTGAATCGAAATTCGGTAGGAAACTTCAGGCTTTTAGGATCATGAACCCCCTTTTACCTCCCTAGAAACAATATTATGTGCGGTTGAATTCAATATGTTAATCGGTGCTTTTATAAAAGAGCCAAAAAAATTATTTCCTTATTGCGTAATGCAGTGTACATACATATAAGTGCCGGAAAGTGTTCAGATAACCTTATTCTCATTAAAGAAATTTAGGATAGGGAAGGGAATACAAATGGCGTGCCTCCCCCCCCCCNCCCCCAACAAATCACTATGAAATCCTCGCCATGATTGGTAGCAATGATAAAATCTCACATAAAATATTCGGCAGAAATTCGGATTCTGCTGCGTGAGATTTTGATTGTAGTCAATTAAAAAATAGAGTCGTTGACACTGTCGGCCAGACTGTCACCAGCTTTCAAGGTCTGAGACAGTACGAAAAATCCGGCTTTACAAATTCATGTAAGCACCGAATTCGTCGAAAATTAATGAATTATTATGAGAACAGCTCTATTTGAATTTTATCCTCTGTTTGTGAAATGAGAACACGCGTCATAAGTTTGATAACCTGAACCTTGTCAATATCTTTGCGAGACAGTGCAAACTCGGAATTAGTGCTGTATTGCCGTGCTAAGAAAAAAGACCGTGTGAGCCTTCACACGTTGCCAATTTTTCTTTGATAAAATACAAATTTTTGGAAAAATTTGTAGATCTTTTTCCTCTAACTTTTCCAAGAATTTTATTCGCAATCAAAATTATCTGAAAATTTCATGAGAAAATATTCATAGCTCTCCTTCAAAATGAAAATTTTACTGGAGTGGATTTGGCAACGCTCAATTTTTCATACGGCGTTTTTCCTTAGTGCGGCAGTGTAGGCGCCCGTGCCGATATCCTCTATCTTTTCTTTCCTGACGTTAAAGTCTTTTGACTATAAGCTTCTTTGTATTAATCCTTCTCTAGTCCATCATCTTTCTATTTATAGAATTACAGAGAGTTAAAATTATTCTCCGCTAAATTCGGCTAATTTTCCTTCTCCAGTATTAAAGTATTTTGATCCTTTCATTGAGTGAATGCTTTCCAAACTGTCAACAAAAGTGGGAGTTATATTTTCTTTGCCTGTCATGCAAAATTTTGTAAAAGGAAAAGGAAGATATGAATGGATTTAATACATAGATGAAAACTAAAATTAGAAAAAAACCAGAAACGTGTCTGAGTCAATCGACGTTTATCATTAGTTGTAAGTGAATGGAATAAAATTTAGAGAAAAAAAATGAAAATACACAAGCTGAAGTATATCATCTCTCGACATATGCACTACGTATTTTGAAGGTACGATTCCTATACACCGTAACTCCAGTTTGATCTGAAATGTTTGGGCGATTTTTTTCTTCCTTTTTTTTACTACTTCAAATAGCCCACAAGGGCTAATCCTGCGCTTTAGTCCCGTCCCCCTCTATCCCTACTGAAAAACCAGTCCTAGACAACCATTGTTTGAGACCATCAAACTCGATGCACACATACCTATAAATAAGATAAGACAAACTTCTATAAGATATCAAATTATTAATCAATTATTTATAGTCAAGCTTATAATCCTTAACCTAGAAATTAAATAAACTAACAACAGCTTCATATACTTGATTAGGCAAGAGACTCGAAGGAGTTTAGTTTACTTTATAGTTTAATCCTAAATTTTATCACTTATCTTGCTTTAAAAAAAAGGGTGTAAAATTTTGATGTCCTTATTTATCCTTAATTTTTGGGCCAAATAGTCCTCTAAACTCTGCCCTTTCCTAGGCCCTAATACTTTTATTTCAATCTTGAATTTATTAGCAAGTTCAAAATTTTCTTACCATATCCTTTCCCCTTATTTATATTTTTTCCAATTACCATATCAAGGAGGCATTAAAGGCAGTAATTAAATCAAATGCGGGAAAAAGAAAATTGAAAAACCATCGGAGAGTTTTAAACGCTGAAATTGAGCTACGTATTTTTCAACTGTAGGCAACGAAATATTCCTATGATAATTTCCTTCAACGGCAAGAGCAAGAAATTTCATCATGCCTATGTCATTACGGGAAAAAAGGAAGTTTAATTAATCCGCTGGCATTTAAACTGTCGGCAAAGGTAAAGTAACTACCAATAGCATATATCTTTTCGCCCGGAGAAAGTTTTTATTCTCTCCTACAAGTCGCTATTCCTTAGATTTTTATGAATAACAGCGCAAACAAGTTTATGCAGTGAGAGCTTGAAAGGAACCGAAGCTAATCTAGCGGTGTATAAAAGTTGTAGGACATCGTTGGCGCTAGTAATGAAGTTGAACGGGGTGTCACGAAACACTGGCATTTGCCGCCTCATGGGAAAGGCAACACTCGGGACTCCACAAAGACTACCCCGCCCACAATCTCCACGAACACCCCTCCTTTTCAAAAATAAATTCAATCGACCCCTCCCATTATTTTTTTATCCGTAATTAGTAGGGAGCTCCTGATGTAACTGAGAGATAAAGGGATTACATTTTGCAATGAGGAACCACTATTTCTGGCCCATTTAAAAACAACGTACATGTCATTGGTTGTCCTAAGCAGATATGTGTTTTTATGGAAGAGCCAGCGATAGTGGCTTCTTCTGAAGAAATGTAATCGAAGAGTTGCTTTGTACCTCAGGATTCGATCCGCACGAAACAAAGATTTAGTATTTATGTCTTGAGAGGTCAAATGAAATCTCGAAAATTTTTGGGTAGATATTGACCTTTCCGGATACTGAACTGTCTAGTCCTGCGAGGGGGAAAAATCGGATATGGATAAAAATGGATAAAATCGCTAGGATGAAATAGAAAGGAAATAAGCCAGCAAAGGGCGAAAAATGTCAGATCGAGGCTACTGCATAACGCATGTCACCATTATATGCTAAAATGACGGAGGGCTCCATGTATAATTATTATCTTGATTATAAAATTTACAGTGGGCAAAATCGGTCATCAAAAAGCTTTGACGGACTTTATCTCGACGTACCCATTTACTATCCCCCAACTTTCGATTGTCAAGAAAGGGTCAATTTTTCGATTTTTCTCTTTTTTATGTACAGAATTAACCTCTTCAAGCTGTGCTTTAGTCACATCATTATTCCCCCACTTTAGGGCACATTTATCCCTGTTGCGTCACATAGTAGTAATCATATTTTATTTAACACTGGAAAAAAACACATTGGATCTAGAGTCCAGACTCTTAAAAACATCGACAAGAAAAAATACTCTTGATTCAATCAGATTTAAGCTTAAATCAAGAACCCAGCCTCTTAATTTGAGCGGATTTCCTTTTGATTTAAGCTTAAATCTGATTGAATCAAGAGTCATTTTCCTTGTCAATGTTTTCAAGACTCTGGATCCAATGTGTTTTTTTCACTGAAAAAAAAAATCTCGGTGCATTTACTATAAAATTACCAAGAATTCAGGGTTCTATTTGATCCCAGTTTTTTCTTGGTAAAATTACCATCTATGGAATTGGTAATTTTACCGAGAAATCTCGGTAAAATTATTGAACTTTCTCGGTAATTTTACTGGACCTTGGTAAAAACGCCAATATTTTTTATCGACTATGGAAGAATTACCGAGATGAAATGGCAAAGTTACCGGGAATTGATTACCAATAAAAGTGGTATTCTTACCTGAAAAACCAGTAAAAATACCGGTTTTTAGGTAAGTTTACCAGTCTGTCTTGGTAAAATTACCAATAATTGGTAAAAAAAAGGAGATGGTAAAGGTACCAACGGACCTTGATAAAAACGCCGAGAATTTTTTTTCAGTGT